CAGTCGGATAGTCAGAAAGTCAGACAAATACGACAATTGTCCCACAGACCGACAGACAAGAAACTCAATCAGTTATGAAGTAGTTAACTGATCGAGTGCGGATGACTCATCGCAACACCTCAGACTGTATTCAACGATGACAGTTCTTTATTTGCCATTTTTGGGTATTTTCATTTTTGGTACGGATTGTGAGTACGTCGGTCTTAATCTGTAAACACCTTGACCTTACGTCAGCACGCATTTTATGCTTATAAACAACAATTGGCGGGCCGCAAACAGAGCGTGGCAAGGCGTGTTAAATTGACCAAAAACTTGAACGCAACTCCGGATTTTTTGGGTTAAGGCGCAGCCACGGCTTGCCAAAACAAAATGTAATAAAAACCCACTCGAGAATCCGAAACAGCAGACTGGTTTATTACCCTTTAACGGGCTCGGGTTTTCGGTTTTAAGGCGCTTAAATTGCATTCGCACACGAATTCTACAAATAATATTTAAATGTACAGAACCTCTAAATTAGAGTGTGTTAAATGGAAAATTCTCTATATCGGCGACCTTTGGGCGATAGATAAAGCGATCGAATAGTAAATATTCCGAACTTATCTAGATATATTAACTTTATAGCATAGCAGTTCATTGAATTGCTAACAGCAGATTGGTGTTAATAAAATTGATATTCGGGGTAATAAAAAAAATGTAATAGCTGTTTTATTTATAGCTGATGCTTAGTGATTCAAAATTCATTATTCTGAAATGATTATAGATTATAAATATATTATTCCCCTTACCATCAAGAGTATCCACGTATGATGGGTGCTCTGGCACAAAAGCTCGAGCATGGAGATTGGGATAAAAGGAGAGGAAGCGGTTTAATTCTGCTTGGTCGCTTTCACTTCCGCCTCATCAGGCGGATTCCCCCTATATCTTTCTATACGTGTGACTCCGAAACGCCCCCGCCCACTTGGAACTCAAACTCGCAACTCGCAACTCGGAACTCAAACGCTGCAGCAAAGTTCCTCCATCAGCGTCATCAGCAGAAGCTGAAGACACAGCAGCTGGCAACTGCAACTGCAAGTGGGTTTTGATTTCACGTGGGGTGTGGGGTCTTTTACTCTATTTTTATAGATGGAAGGGCAGGGGGAAACTGCCGCCTAATGCTCCTCCTCTACGCAATCAAATCTCTGTTTGCTCTTCTCTATTTAAATTGGGCATTACCAACGCTCCGGTGATATATGTTTCCTCTTCTGTTTGCCTGACATCTGTGCAGGCGTCGGATCAGGGTCTTGAATATGCATCTAACGATTACCATATGCCCGATGCCCGGGTCACCCATGGGAATATACAGCAGAATGTGTGAGCTAAATGATAAGACCAATTAGAAAGTGATTTGTGAACAAGTCTCTGCTATAGATCACTTGTGACACTCCACTCCACACAAAGGAGTCAAGCCTGATTATCTATTCAAGACTTCACTCCCAATTGCCTCCACTTGAACCAAACGTTGTTGTTAACGGTCGTATCAGATTAGGGAATGATCTATTGGGTTAAACACCCCAACTAAAGAGAAGGTTGTGGATTTATATAAATGAATGAACGATTATTCGGCAGATGTTATTTACTTCTTTATTTAATTTGATAAAACGAAGTATATTTATAGCTTATTGGTTCTTTAGTTTGACAAATCTTGCAAGAACTCATGCATTTAAATACCAGATAAATGTCATTACGCACCTAAAAACGTCCCAATTATTTTCTGTAAAATATGTTGTGTGTCAAAACTAAACCCTGAATGTTTATACAGATTTAACTCACCTAGTCCCACCTTTATCACGCCATTTTCCCCGCCCCCGCTGTCTCTTCGCTCCAGTCAATTAGCAAAGTCAATAGGAAATACCGCCTGGGGCTCCTCTCTCAGTTTCAGTTCAGTTCAGTCCATTTCAGTTCGGTTCAGTTCTGCTGACGTTTCAGCATTTTGCTTGCTTAATTTATAAACGTCAGAAACTTCACACACCCTCCCCACCCTCCCATTTATCCCCGGAAGTTAAGACCTGTATTTGAATTTTCACTGGGAGCACAATATGCGATTCCCACACAGTGCATTCAAATGGCAAGTGCTAATTCAAATACAACTACGAGTGGCAGGGCTTATGTGATTAGCAAAGTTTTTGTACAAAAATCAGATCTAGTATCCAATCGGTTGACTCGGCTTCCGTAGTAAGGAAATCATATATGCATCGGCCTTAAAGGAGTACTCTAATTATTAATTAAGAGGGCTCTTTGCACACAAGACGAACAAGCGAAACTTTTGGATGTGGGACACAAGTTCAGCGGCAGCAGAATGCGGTTTGGGGTTAAATGTGGGCCAGAGCTGAATAATAGAAAAGATTTCACTGCAACGGGCGCAGAAAGCGGCAAATTGAAAGCGACTTAAGCCCGTCCATCAAATCTACTGATTAAAAACAGTTTCATCAACCTCTATTAAAATCGATGAGGTAAATTTTAATATGTAATCTATTTTCAAACCTGTATTTAGGGTACAGATCCCTATAGGGGGCGTATATAATAGAAGAATATAAACGTCAAGTGCCAACTCAAGAGTCAAGCAACCACCACTTGAACTTCTCCAACTCTGCCCTTTTCCCCTCCACAAGTAATCCCCATGTGAAATGCAATAAAAGCGCCAAAGATAGAACGCCCCGCCTATTTACAGATCCCCCTCATTGAGACTTGAATGCGGGGGGATCAATTGGATGATGACGACGAAAGTCATGCAAATGCTTAAGAGAAAGAAATAATAAACTAAAGACAAGAGGGCTGCGAAGACGAGTTCAACTTGTCGTTTCTTCGCTTCAGTCTGCCCCTCCGAATTTACACGAGTCGTTGGCAGACCTCTCGAGTGATCTTTCCCCTGGGAGCTCCCCTTGTCGCCCCCTCCACGGGTGAGTTAATAAAGATCAATTGAATTTAAACAAAGCAATTCATTCGAGGAGAAACATGCATACTTCGAGTACCCTTGTCTTGTCTCCTTTTCCCTATGAACGGACCCGGATTCCGCTGGTGAGTGCGTTGTCCAACTCTTGTTACTAGTGACAAAAGCGGGAAGTGTTCCCCCAAAGCAAATGCGCATTACCATGAATATAACGACAGCAACAAAAGACAAAATGTGTAGCGGGAGGGAAAACAATTAAAAGACGTTCAAAGCAGGAAATACACAAGAAGCGAAATGAGCTGCAGAAGAATCAAAAGCTTGACCCAAAACTTGTTTAGACTCTCTTCAATCATCTTGTCCATTCTTCTCTGTCGGTCATTAGCCAAAATTTGAGCATCCAAATTAATTATACAATACCAGAACCACAATAGGAAACGTTTAATTGGAGGGAAAGCCCTAGAAACGGGTGAAAGAAAACCCCGAAAAAACCGAAAACTGAAATAATACAAGCCGCAGCGGCAGAAGCTATTTAAAGTTTCCAAACAACTTCTGCGACGACGACGACTTCCACTTTCCGAAGTGGACAAAACTTTTTGTTACATTTACAATTTGGGGCACAAAAGACGCCAAGTTGCTGGAAAAAAGCTGGCCAAGCGAAATCTTGACTTTGAAGTTTGTAGGCATAGCAAATTCTGTTTGCTCGCAGTTTCTCAGTCGTTTTTCTCCGCCTTTGATTTGCTTTCCATCTCAGCGAGGAAAAAAATTGGCAAGCGAACCTCTTGAAAGCGAAGTCTAATTAGGCAATTTCTCAATGAAGGGAAATGGGAGCAGAAACTCAAGATTCTCTGGGAGATTAAAGTGCAATGAAAGTGAGTGTGGTAAGTCGAGGGCTTTTGAGGAAAAACAATTGCATAAGCTCGAAGTGTAACAACATTAATGGCCAAAATGATTCTCAGGCAACAGACAACCGGAAGAAAGATAATTAAGGTGCAGAATGAAAAAACAAAAAAGGTTGACTACGCCATAAATTACAATGCTCATTTATTAAAACTTGCTGTTATATCTTATCTTAGTCTGTTGTAAATACAATAAGCTTTCAAAAATCCCTATAAGACATTGCTTATTTGATTATAATAATTGTCAGTATTTTACTGGCCTACATACAATATATTGTATATATATTATATATATTATATATTATATATTGTAATAAACAAAAACAGATTTAAGTTAAAAAACTAAAGACTATCTTTAATTATCCACTTTTCCATATATAAATCTGACTGATCAGAAAGAAAAGATATACGAAGTTAAAGACGGGAAGCAAATTGCAATAAAGGGGAAACAAAGACAGTGACAAGTCGAAATATTGTGCCCCTCTATCGCATCTTCATCTCTCTTCCTATTCGCCTGCTTGACCACTTTTATTTTCATGCCCCAATGGAGGCGCCCCACTCCCATTTTCCATCTTCCCCTTTCCCCCGTCCATTTTCCCCACCTTTCCCTTTTGGAACACCGCATCATTGTCCATCCACCGTCGAGTGAAAAATTGATTGTCATGCAAAAGTGAACTTTAGTTTCGAGTTTTGAGTGAAGTGAGCGAGGTGAAGAGGCTCAGTCAAGAGTGGAGAAAATGTATATAAATAAATACATAAAGCTATTGTCATTCTTCTCCTATCCATAGTGGCTTCCGAAAGCGAAAAGGTTTTGAGTGAGGCACAGAAAGAAAAATAGTGACGATCTACCGTTTGACATACAAATTGCTCTTTAAATTATACTTTTTAATTTGACTGAAACCGAAAACTCAGGTGATCAACAATATGACTGAAGATCTGTATCTAATAAAAATAATATTTTGGTGAATTCCCAAAAATACTCTATAATACACTATTACTATACTATACTATATTACTATTATTAACAAGAACTATTAGTAGCTTGGAAAATTTGTTTTAGTATGTAGATTACAGTCGATATATACGTAGATCTGTACAATTTTAGTATTTATTAGTGGGCTGCGTATGGCAACCCTGAATGTCAAATTGAAGCTAGTTGTCAAATTTCTAGCAGAACAGTGACTGTCGAATTGTGGAGACTCGAAGAAAATGAAATCCCAGTACACCCGAAAAGCCAAAGTAAGTGGTTGTTTAATGTCGTTATCAGGTCAAGTAATCCCCGATTCGTATCCCGATGTAAGCCAGAGCCAGCAAATACAACTACAGCAATAGAGCCCAAGACGAATAGTAAACTGGCGGGTCCAAAATCGAGATCCACTACGGTGGTGGTGAAGCGCCGAAATCGCCGAAATCGCATTAATGGAGCAGCCGAAGGCTCCACAGGCGGCAATTCCGACGGGGGTAAATCCAGAGCAGGTTTCTGCGGAGGCGGTATTTCAAGAGGAAATAATTCCGAAGGAGGTAAATCAACTGGATGCAATTCCGGTGGAAGTAATTCCAAAGGAACTAATTCCCGGACAGGTTATACCGGTGGATGTAATGGTAATGCCGGTGCTGGTAGTTCCGGAGCTGGAAACAAGTCCTGCCAGCTCGTTCCGGTGCGGCGTAAGCCACTAAGCGATTACATGATGCTGGAGGAGCAACCATTTGCATCCAGTCGTCCAACCACATCCTCCTCCCATCTATCGGACCAGGATCCTCCGATGAGTTACGCAGCTGCTGTGGAATCTCTTTCCGTGTCTAGGCTTAGGGTCAAGGTGGTGCTGTCCCCACGTCTCAAGCGGTCCGGCAATCAGCCGCCGATCAAGAGGCCGAGCCCCAAAAATTCACCCGACACCAAGGTCAAATTGATCCCACCGACGCAGTCTAAGCCACACAATGTACTAAATCCAAAGCGCAACATGGCCCAAGTTCCTCCCCAATCCCGCGTTGCCCAGGCGAATCCCAAACCCAACAACTCACTGCCACCTGCGGGCAACAATAAGAAATCCAAGTCGAAGAAATCCCAGAAGGCCAGGCAAAATCAACAACGAGCGGAGGCTACTTCTCCAGAGCTGCCAGTCTCACCACAGCCTTGTGATGTCACTCCACAGAGCTGCTCGCCGAAGTTCTCCGATACCACCGCCTATCTGGACCATTACCATGAGCAAATGCAGCGCATTCTGGCTGAGCAGACGGCTGGTCAAAAGCCTTATCCCAACCGTGGCCAAGTAAAGTCCTGCAAACACAATGCCCAGCTCCCAACCAACCGATCCCTCTTCGACTTCGATGAGCGACTATTCAAACGCGGCGATTTGGAGTCGGCCGCTATTTTGGCCCAGAATCAGGCCATGATGCGCAAGTGGCTTAACCCCAGCATGCTGATCTCCTAGGCAGCTCAATTACCAATGAAAATTTACCATTTAGTTTTATGTGTTTGAAGTTGTTATGTTAAATCAAAATTCCAATCGATATCTTATAAGAAATCTCTGTGGCCTGCAGACTTGCAACCTAAAAAACGGAAGCCCATGGAGATTGAACTGTATTTTGAATATAATTTGGCAAATAAAAAAGTTAATTGATTCCAATATCGGTATTGAAAAATTAAGTATTTCCGTAACCTTTGCAATCCGAAGTAATACTTTTTCTCAGCGCATCCACCGTTTTTCCAAATATTTCTATCTACATCTCTAAACGTCCTAAAGTTTGTTGCTGTAGTCATTTGTCACTCGAAATGGATGCAAAAATTAAAACATGGCCCAGTGAGTAGTGAGCCTATTGGGGAGGCCAAAAGAGGTGGCTTTGGAGCGGGCGGAAGGAGGGGTCATCAGCGGGGTCAGGCAAGTGCAAATGTGTGCCAGAAAGACAGGGGCGGCGGTGCGCAGAAGCTAAAGAGGGTCTCGTTAAGTGGCAAACGAAGTCAAACGGGCGGCGACGCTTTTATTTTTGATGCTTCGCTGCCTCTTTGTGTGACTTCTGCTCTCAACTTTCCTCTTTCGCCGCTCGATTCGTGCTCTGCGAAATTGGCCAGGAAACGCTGGCCAAAACTGGCACGTTCCTATAGCTCTGCCCAAAGCCATGGAGCCACAGAGCAGCTCTCTTTCTCGATCCCCCCAACTTCCCATGACAACATGACAACAAAGAGGTCATTTACTTTCCTTGCGAGCATGAAATAATCGTTCGTCGTGGCTCTGACTCTGAAAAAAGATGTAAAAACATCGAAAACAGCTCGAAAAGTCAGGCCAAAGCCAAACAAAGCGCAAAGCAAAAAGTCAAACTCACATATTTCGTGCAAAATAAAGCCGAAATGCAACAATGACTACTATTGGTAATGGCGTAAGATGGGATTGGAACTTAAAGATACTCTGTATCTGCGAATTCTAGCTTTTCTGGTTCGAGAAATACAGTTTAAAATAAATTTCAGGAAATATCTGCCCATACTTTTAAGTCTTTTAAGGTAGATTAAAAATACAAGGACTTTATAGGTATTTAAACACATCGATATGGCTTTTAAGAAGTGGTAAAGGATATAAATAGTTTCTGCACTCATATCTATGGTATTTTTAATGAGTCCCACATCATTTCTCCGTATTCCAGTATACCCTACCTTCCCCAAATGCAATATAAGGCAGGAAGGAAAATATAAAGCTGAGAGATAAATGAAATTGGCAACAGAAGCGACAGCAACAGAGGATATAGGCACGGCTTCAGAGGCCCAACTTTATGGGCTAGCGGCTAGCAGTCGAGTTGACTTCTCCATTCCGAATCGTTTGGTTTTTAATTTTTTTGCTCGTATCAAAAATCGATTAACAAAGCGCCGGCAGCAATGCGCCGCATAAAGCCGCAAAACTTTAACGGCACATTTAAAAAGCTATTTCTTCAAACGAATTCGCGTGCCAATCTATGTATGTATGGGCAGATATCTATGTGAGGTAGAAGGAAATAAGAGATAATTGGTATAAAATAGCCGTTTATTGCTGTCACGAGTATCGATTTCTACATCAGGATATAAGGATATGTCACGTGCAGATAGCGCCAAGGAAAATCTTACTGAAAAGTCCCTATAATTCTATCGCTGTTTAAGTTTCTGTGATTCAGTGAAATACGTATAGTACAGTGTAGTGTATTAACTTCCTTCAAAATAGTAATACTATTGTTCGGTTTTAATGGTTGAAAACAATCACACAGCCATTGCGTAAGCAAACTGAACTTGGGCGTCGAAAAACAATAGTTCGAGCTTGGATTCTGATCTCATAGGCTTTTATTAGTCAGGGTTATTGTAATGCCATAAATTGCAAATACAGTAAGTATTCGGTTATAACAGAAATGTTTCGTAACAACATTGGTAAATCGAGATTTAGTAGCTAAATTCACTTGATTACGGTTCTGTTATAAATATAAACAAATATATATATAAACGTTTTTTGTTATAATTAAATAATTTGAAAAATTCCAAAAAATGAGTTCATCGTTTCCTGTTTTCTACAAACTACATTTCCCCCTTCCAATCATTAAAGAAAAATAAAAAATTCCCCAATTAGTAATGCGCTCAGCTGGCAAAATGAAAAGATGATTGATCCCCTCTACACAGCAATCATTTATTTTGTCAAGCCGCTGACCTCATATGGCGATCTATTGCTCAACTTTAAAATTTGTTGTGAAGTGCATGCATTTAAATTGCTTCGCAATCGCAGACACACCCGGCAACAGAAGGCAGGTTAAGTTAAACACGAAACTACACAAGTGAACTAATGCAATTTAATGTAAAGGTAAACTTATACTCCTCAAACTTTGGGCCGACCCCTCTCCACTTTCCCACCCCCTGTTCCATCAAACGCCGTGTTTACAAGTTGCAGCATTTCCATTAGGCGAAAAACACTCGCAGACGCACATACATAAATGTTTTATAACCGACTTCAGTGAGTCTTGAGACCTTAAAATAGTCTTCATTACTCCATTGTCTATAATTAGAATCGAAACTGCTGACTCGGGAGGGAAAGAAGAAACTGGAGAGACGAGACTATAATTAGGATGTGCTTGGTGGAGAAGGGGTATTAGTTTCATGTGCGGGAACAGAGGGTCTTTGGATTGACACGTTTCAACGCTGCTGATACTCGAAGCTGATTGGCAATCGGAATTCGTTGATGGATTCAATTCGATTCAAAGGGGAAACCGAGCCAAGCGATTCCTAATGTAAATGTTTGGCTCGATTGCAGCGTTATCAGCTTCCAAATTTCGTCGGAACAACAACACAGGCCCTCAAAACGTAAACACAGACTGACAGCCAGCCAAGGGCGAAAATAAAATGGAACTGCAATGGGGAAACGACTCAGACTTAGAGGCAAACAAAAGTTCGCTTAAATAAACTGGATTAAGCGTAAACCAATAAGCCCATGGGCACTGAAAATGAGAAACGAAAGCCCCACTTTGCGTGCACCTACAGCTGTGTTCAGCGGTTTAGTTGGAAAACTAATTGTAAATATATAGTACAAACATTATGCAAATTCATACTTTGAAATGTGCGAACTAATTATAGACCTTTTCATTCTAAAACCAACAGCCTTCAGTTTAATTGCACAGCAAAAAATGAAATTGATTAACTTATGTACATAATTAAATATCAAAAATTTGATACATATGTATCCATTTTATTCTTAGGAACATCTAATGGGTCTAAGCCTGAAAAAGGCACGGATTTTTATTTTGAATGTGTCACGCGTTTTTGTCACGAAATTTCCAATTCTTATAATTGGACCGTTTGCTCAACGGTTAGCATGAAAGCAAAAAACTGTTTAAAATTTCCTGGAAAATTCGACTAACACGAATTTCTTAAGAAACTTGAACAAAAAATAATTTTTTTTAAATAAAAATAAATTGAAATATTTTTTTAAACGGAAATGGAATTTAGATAATAAGTCTCATCGGCACTTCCCTTCAATGGTAAAATCATTTTGCCAGCTGCTAATCTCGCGAATACCACTGTGTCAGATTTCAGGCTTAAGTGTGTGTGTGTGTGTGTGTGTGCGGAGAACGCAGTAAAAAATAAAAACTGGTCTCAAGTCTCGAAAATATGCGCTCAAGGTCGGTCAACGGATTTGCTTTTGTTGCTTTTTCGAAGACAACAACAACAGCAAAAGCAGCTGCAACCAAAAAAGCAGTGCGAAAAAGACACGAGATCGCAGAAATTGAAATGCAACAAGCGCCGCAGCGGGAAAGAGCGGCCACGATATAATTAGAGAGGGAGCCCGAAAATTCTGCCAGCGGAAGCGGCGGCGGCAAATGTAAATTAAAAGCAATTGTAGAAATTTCCTGAGTTGGCGAAAATGTGAACAGTAATTTCTGTTGTTGTCGCCACCCGCGCAACACTGAGCATAAATACTGAACTAATCAGATGTGTCAATCATATTCAACTTATAATCAAACGTTTGGAAATAGAAATTATACATAAATGTAGTGTGTAGAAGATTATATTACATGTAATTTTATCAAGTCATAAAAATAATAATAAATTGTTTCTGTTGTTGTTGTTGAAGAAATAAATAACTATATTATTAAAATTATACGATCTATTTTCTAATTTGTACTTTTGACAAACGTAATTACATTTAAAGCAAACTGGATCTCAAATGTACATATGTACGTAACCTTAATACCCAGTTTTGGTCGGACAATATGTAAACTTTTTATTGAAGCTATTGTAAATAGTATTGGCAGAGCGATCTTGTGCTTTTTCTCAGTGCAATAGTGTCATTACACCCACACACAGACGCGCGCAAAGCTGTGCCGTTATTTTCGAGTAAATATTTGAATTCCGCGAAGCGAATGGAAAGGCAGCCAAACAACTTTTGCGGTTATTAAGCATAGGATAATAAACACCGAAGAAGCAGAGCAACAAAAAAAGGCACGCATGATCAATGGGGGAAGGGATAAAATCATGGGAGGGAGCGGGAGAGCAGAACCCACGGCCATGTGCCAGCTAGCCGTCTCGCTCTAGCGACCGCAACAAGTGCACGAAAGAGCGGCTTAAAACAGAAAAAGGAGCCACCACGAACATTATAGAATCTGAATAGGATGAATAGGATATAGGGAATGTAACTCACTTTGTCCAGGCACTTGAGCTCCTCGATGGGGTAAACCACCTTTTGGCAACGGGCACAGGTTTTATTCATCTTGCCGCTTTTTCCTCCTTTGTTACTTCTGCGAGTGTGTGTGTATGTATGTATAAGCCTTTTATTTACACAACAGGATATTACTGTTAACTATTATTATTTTCCCCGCTTGGACGACACTATCCGCACTCCACGATTTCCTCTCCGCTTAATTTTGCATATTTTCTTATGATCTGCGAGTCGGAGAACCTGATCGGATCTGAATAGGAACTACGGGAATGTATTTGTTGTGTGTGCAGGTATGAGCCGAGAATTTGATTTACACTATTCACAAAAACATCTAATAACTGGTTTGCTTTGTTGTTGTTGATATATACAACAACTGGCGATCGATCGCATGGACTTTTTTTTGTATTTTTGTGAACCAATTTACACTTTTTCTCTTCGTTTTATTAATTTTCAGCTGTCGCGACTGCGCTGCAGGTAAAAATAAGCGACGCGCGCAGTAGAAAAAGAGGAAGAGCGACTGGCGTAGGCGTTCGTAACGAATTAATCCCGTTATTTTTGATAACACCGCACAGAATTAGTAATCTACTATTTGAGTGTTAATTTTTAAGGTGAATTTGATTGAGGCGCGACACAAACGAAACAACGCGACAATCCGCGATAAATAATTCGTTCCGTTCAAATAGAGTGACCGCAGCAGACTGCGAGCAAAGTGACCGTTGCGGGGTTTTGGTGCAATATTTTTCGATGTCTTGCTATGTTTTTGTGTTCCCGTTTCAGCCGCACTGGCGCCACTGTTTCGTGGAGATATTGCTTTAGAATGCGACCGTCTCGTGAATTGCTGAATAAGCCAACAAAATTTACAACAATGAGCGAAAACTCGAATTAAAACGGATAAAATCAGCAATTTAAATCTTAATTTGAACAAGAACTATAAAAAAGTCTTTTGTCTCTTGTCTTTTTTTTAATATTAAAGCACGCGATTCCATATTAGTTTTATGTAGTTTTTGTGCATAAAAATATCAAGAGTCTTGATAAAATGATGTAAAATAACGGCTATAAGAGTTGTATGCTTGTCATAAAAACGTTTTATTTTGATAGCTAGCCATGTGAGTACGTTTGCTATAGAATCTTTGTACATTAATGTTTATGTATTTATATTGTCCCACAGTTGAAGTGATAAATTTAATTTATTTGTAAAAAGAGACAATAGTTTTTACCGCAAGTACGAGCAAAGATCTATCGGCTGTCATCGATAGACCGATAGCCGCTGTACCGGCTGCCGCACAGGGTGCCCGCGGTACTCGACCCAACACCCCCGAATCCTTGGAGTTTTACTATCGAATTTTCGGTGTGTGTCCATATCCTGCAGCTCCCAGGACGTAGGACCCAAACTAAGCTAAAAACCCATGAAAATTGGGCTACACCAAAGGCCAAATACACGCAAAGCAGGAAGAAAATCAAAATCAGTGTGTAAATATATGCTTAAAGAGTCGGAAAGAGTCGTGTGTGTCACCCATTTCTTTGTGCTTCACTTTTTTTTCCGCTGCCAGACAAAGAGAGCTGCGAGTGTTGTGCAATATTAAAACGGAAAAAGATCAAACAACGAAAAGCTGTTCATAGAAATTATATAGTTTACCGCTGCATAATGAAAGGCGTAGCTACATCCCTTTCCCACCCCCCACAACGCCCTAAAGTAGGCAAAGTGGAAGTAAACACGCACACAGATGCCCCCCTTGGAAAATCGATAATCCGTGCCGTGTGCGTGTGAACGCGTGCAAGTGTGAGTGAGACAAATGCCGGTGTGTTCTATCGACCGACTGGCACAATAGCAACAACAAAACGCTGACGGCAAGGAAGTGGGGGAGTGCAAAAAAGACAGAAGACGCGAACAGCGAAACAAGTGTAAACAAATCACAAAAAGCACTTAGCAATAAAACAACGAAGGAAATCTAAGAAACCATAAATAATTAAAGCTCTCTAAGGCTCAATCATTATTCGCAACATTATACGCGGCCAAAGGAATTACTACACGAATGCCAATCAGCTTTTTCTGAGCAAAATGCAGACGCTGCGCAAGAAAACGAGTCCTTGTAAATGTAAGTTATAAAAATAACATCATAACATGGCCCTTTTCCCACCTATAAAGTCCATTAAGTTATTATTCTTGTGGGATATTGTGGGATTTTGCTTAGTATCGTTTTTTTTTATTTGAGTATGAGTACTTGAGTATTTGAGTACTCACATCCATACATCGGATACATCCATACAAGACGGTACAGGACAAATTTATTTATAGAACGTTGTTCTTGTTTAAATATATTATGCCGCCTCCAGCACCGGCACATATCAAACCACACTTGTGGTCTAGTCGTCAGCTAAAGCTAATAACTTTTATATTAATTAAAAATTAAGTTTTGTTTTTCTGTCTATTGATTTTCTGACTTAAGGAAAATGGATTTTGTGCAGCAAAAGTTAGCAATTTCCCTTGGTTGGCTACTGTACACATTTTTGTTATTTGTCTGACAAGATATGTACCGCTAGATAAAGTTATAGAAAAAAGTTCTAGGCGGTAAATATTTTGTGAGTCAACTTCCCTACCTTCATTTCTGCATCTCCCTCGACTTCTGTTATCTGGGTAATACGATTTTAGTATTTTCTATTGTTAGCTTCTAAAGCTAGCTACCATGCTTATCACCACAGACAACTAAATTTATACAAGTATAATTTTTAAGTAGAAACTAGTTTTAGGTTAATTCTTTCCAAAGCTAGTTTTTCAAATTCCGATATATAAAATTTATCGATCCTTTGATTCGCCGCTAGACACGGCCTATCGATAGGTGACTTAGACAGCATCTTTCAATCGAATAGCAGCTGCTGCGCCGGCGTCGCAGGTGTTGCAGTTTTCCCAAAAAAGATCAACAATGGCCGAGAGAGCTACGCGTTTTCTGTACTTTATTTTCGCCACTAAATAATAGAGTGAATTCTGTGCGAGTACATGAAAGTGTGCATGTGTGTTTTTGTTTGTTATTTCAATTGAACAAACTGCGACAATCCAGTCCAGCCAAAAAAGAGAGACACTGTGAGAGCGTCAGCATCGTTTCCACGCTCTCATTCGTTTTTATTCATTCCATGATCGCGCAACGTTCTCCGCTAGAATTTAATTAAATCTATAGCGTCGCGAAAAATCATTGTGGAATTTATGTATTGTTTGTCCTCCATTGTGTGCCACCTCCGCCACCACCACCCCCACCTCATCGTCCGCGTCCCAATGGAAATTTCAACACACATACACACAACAGAGAGGCCCGGAATGCGACACTGATTTTGTTGACACTTCGGTGACCAGAGTTCCAGAGCTTTTCCAGCCAGCGTTTTCCCAATAAAATGAGCAGGAGCAGTACCCACTGAGACTTCGGGCCGGGCGAAACATGGTCAAATCCCTGGTGGCCAAGTTGTCCACAGCCTCCTCCAATCTCTCGCTGGCCAGCACTTTTGGCGGCGGCAGCGGCGCGTCAGAGGAAACGAATTACGCAAAACGTTAGCGAAAACAAACTAAGCAAATACACAAATCACAAACAAACACAGTGATCTCTCCGCAGTGTGAAACCTCAAACAAAATGCATGTCACAGCACATGCGAAGATCACAGTGAATATTTTTTAAACGTGGACTTTAAGATTTTGTTGCTCGCTTAATTATTTTTGATTGTGCTGATAGGTCAAAGCTATATACATATGTATGTATAAAGAATAACTCACGATCTGTGAATGGAAGGGGGTTTTAGTGCACAATACTGTCCTATCACTATAACAGATTGAGATTAATTGATATAACAAATGTTGATATTCAATGATTCGAGCTCTTCAAAAAACAAGATTTAGTTGATCGGAAGGAGTTTTCAAGTGTACATGTTTAAAAAAAACTTAAATCCTTTTATGGTGTTTAAAACTGTTTTAGTACGCAATAACCATTTAATTCTTCCAGTGAATAAATTACAAAACGAAACAGAATGCAAAAATTTAATTAAAACCATAAACGATAAGATTTTAAATGTGTTTTTCCTAAACACATTAATGATTTCCTTAAAAAATTTCATATATTTTAATAGGCAAAAATTAAGGTCAATATAAAATCGGCATTCATCGAAAAATCATTTTTAATATTGGATGATCCAGAGGGGCAAACAAAGTGTTCATTCAAGAACATAATTATTTGGACATTTGAAAAATGAATCATTTGAAATGTTTGTATGACGATTATTCACTTCATTAAACTAATATTTGTATAGAATGCTTAAAAGTCAACAAAAGATTAATTGTTCAATATACATACTTCCTTTTAATAAGATAATGAGTAATTTCTCTGTCTTGGCATTTTATTTAATAATGCAAATTTTAAAGTATTTTCGTTTAAATTTTGAGCTTGATGGTTTAATTTAATTTTACATCTGATTCCTACGCCTTTTTCATTTCTAAAATGTATCCAAAATTGATGGCAGCGCTAAATAAAAGGGTATTAAGATGTGGGTTCTCTCAAAATAAATCAGCCACACCCCAAATCCCACGGCTTCCAAAACAGACGAGTGACCACTGCACTCTGTAAAACATTTTCGCCAAACAAAAATGATCCGAATACACACCTTAACAAACACAAAGACTCATTCGAATATTGCCCTTTTTTCAGATCGCAATGATCCGGGACGCTTTTTCGGCGATGGCGTTCAGTTCAAGGCAAAGCTCATCGGCATTCTGGAGGTAAAGCTTACCTATAGAATGCTTGTCAGTATCTAACATTGGTATCTTTCCAAATTTAAGGTGGGCGAGGCCCGAGGCGATCGGATGTGCCAGGAAGCGCTGCAGGATCTCAAGATGGCCATCCGGGCGGCTGGAGAGCACAAGCAGCGGATAACCATTCATGTGACCATCGATGGCCTGCGGCTGAGGGATGAAAAAACGGGGGACTCCCTGTACCATCATCCAGTGCATAAGATCTCCTTCATAGCCCAGGATATGACGGATTCGAGGGCATTTGGTTATATCTTCGGATCGCCGGACAGTGGTCACCGGTTCTTCGGCATTAAGACGGACAAGGCGGCCAGCCAGGTGGTGCTGGCCATGCGCGATCTCTTTCAGGTAGTTTTTGAGCTAAAGAAGAAGGAGATTGAGATGGCGCGCCAGCAGATCCAGGGAAAGTCCCTGCACGACCACTCCAGCCAGCTGGCCTCCCTGTCGTCGCTGAAGTCCGCCGGCCTGGGCGGCATGGGTCTGGGCCATTCGGATTTAGCCAGCGGAGGAATCTCTTCTGGCCATGCCCTCACCCTGCTGGGCAGTAGTCTTAGCACCACGAATGGAACAAGCAGGCTTGGCGTAAGTCTTGACGTGGCCAAGGCATCCGGATCGGCGGCCAAAGAGGTATGTTATTTAATCAAATATGTTATTCATCATATGTAAAAAGCACATTTTTTATATCAACATCCTATTTTACAGGTCTCCCCGGAATCTGTAGCCGATCTGGTGGACTTAGAGCAGGAGCTAACTTCGCTTCAGCGGGGAATCAGTCAAATGGAACGGATAACGCCAAACGAGCCCACCACCACCAGCACTGGTGGTGCTGGCCATCCATCTTTAGCGAAATCCGCCAGCGAGGACGATCCTTTCGGAGACTCATTTATCTATGTGCCCTCCTATAGCATCCTGCCACCGCCACC